CCTCCCTCCCTCCCTCCCGGTTTCCTGATAAGGGTCCCAGCTCTCTTCCACCCACCCCTCTGTCTGCTCAGGGGGTGAGCCTCGGAGGCTGCAAGGGGGTGTGCCGTCCTCCCAAGCATGGCCACTGGGGTTCGGGTGTGGCGCCAAGGACTCGGAAAGGGAGTTGTTTGTGCTTTGGAAACAGGGTTCCCAACCTCCTGGTGGGGCCTGGACTCCTCCCAGAGCCACGGCTGGTCTCCGGACTGCAGAGGGATCCGTGTTTCCCCGGAGGAAGCGGCGGCACCACATCCCTCCCCAGACTCTGCCCTCGCTGGGCTCCACCTCCACACTTCCAGGAATGGCCCAAGTCAGAGTATTCCCAGCGTACAAAAATGTCTGCATATAACTTTTCATGGAACTGAAAGTAGTAAAAGCGACAAGAATGGGCATGATTAAATGATCAACTAAAGTCGGGGTGTCAAACATGTGGCCTGTGGGCCAGATCAGCCCCCCCCCCGCCCCCGGAGGGCTTCTGTCAGGCCCGCAGTGGAACTGGCTGTCTCCTGCTTCTTCTTCCAGTTCTGCTGCTGCTGTTGCATTGTAGCTTGCTTTGCCAGACTCTCTCAAGTGCTCAGGAGTGATAGTCACGTTTCTGTTCCCTGCACGGGCTGAAGCTCCTCACCCTCCTGGGGAAGGGAGCGAATGAGCCAGAACTTGCTTCCTGGCCAGGTTGTCTCAATCACACAGGGGACAAAGGCAAGACTTTCTTCCCCTCCATTGGATGAGGCTCCTCCTCGAAGGGAGGGGGGGAAAGAGGGGGAGCTTGGGTGATTTCCCACAAACGCTGCTCCGCGCTCGCTCCTCCCTTTTGCCCCGATGGTACGTGTCAATTTCACACAAGCTGCTGCGCGGCCGCATTTTGCCCCGGAGCTTTGCACGATTTCCCCCACATCTACTCAGTCCTTAAAAAAACAGGATTGAGTAGACGCGGGGGAAATTGCGCGAAGCTGCAGGGCAAAATGCGGCCGCGCAGCAGCTTGTGTGAAATTGACACGTACCATCGGGGCAAAAGGGAGGAGTGAGCGTGGAGCAGCGCTTGTGGGAAATCACCGCTTGCTTTGCTTGGTTTCCTCAATTGCATGTTAGAAATACCAGGCACCTTTAAGACCAACACAATTTTGTGTGCCTTGCTGCAGTGTGTGTGTTTTGTTGGGCTTGTTACGCTGCAGTTCTCCTGGGTGCAACTGGGTCCCCTCCCCCTTTCCACTGTATTCATGCCCTCATGATCCAGACTTTCTCAGTAGGAAAGCCATGTGAACCATTTAGATGAGGAATAACAACAAGCCAGTGAGGTGGGTTAGTGTGTGTCCAGACCAAGTTCACCCAGCACATTGCCTTGGGGGATTTTGAACTTAGGCTTCCCAGATAGTAGGCTGATACTGACCACTGAGGTAGACTAACCTTAACCCTCCCCACAAATAAAATCAAGTTATGTGATGGTTTGGTAAGAATGAGTTCGACACCTCTGAACTAAAGAGATGCGTCTGGCTAACATTTTACCTAGTAATGTCTCTGAGTTTAGATGTTTTCTTTTAGGGGCCAAAACTGGTTCAACGGACTCAAGCTGCTTTGAGCTGAAAAGGTAAGCTGAAAAACAAAACATTGTTATGCACAAGAAACTTTCCTTGCCTGGCCCCCCCTCCCTTGCATCACTGGAGATTGTTAAAAAAAAAACCCAACTAGGAATTATCAGTGTTCATTAAAAAAGAAAGAAAGAAAAGAAGGTAAGCCTTTTCATTGCAGAGATCTAAGGGCTCGAGAAATAGTTTTTCTTTTTTAAAAAGAAGAAAGTCGGGAATTCAGAACAGTGAAGGTATCACAGCAGCGCCATATTGTCCAGCCCGCCAGCTCACATCTGCCTCTCAAGTCCTGCTCTCTGTGCCCCCACCTTCAGAGGTGGGGCGGGTGGTAGTCAGTGGCAGGGCCTTTTCAGTAGTGTCCCCTCGCCTGTGCAGTGCCCTTCCCCTCGAGGCTCTCTTGGTGCTTACATGTTGCTTTCCTTTGGCACCAGGCCAAAATGTTTCTGTTCACCCAGGCTATTAATTAAGAGGTTGATCCTTTAACACCATTTTAATAGTGTGCTTTTAGCCTGAAAACTCTTGATTTGACCAGTCAGTGGTCTGTTTGTATCATCCCAGATGACTTCCTGTATTGCTGGAGAGATATTGATGGAGCCTCAAATAATATTATTGTTGGGTTAATTTTATAATCAGAATTGCAAAGGGAGGGGAGAGTTAGGGTTTTATGTCATACTACAGGGAGATGTATTTTTTCCGCCCAATTTCTCAGCTTCTCGAAAAATCTCTGAATCAGGAATGTGGGGTTTGTATTTCAGGTTAACGTGTTCAAAGAAACAGGACAGCAAAGTTTTCATCACATTAATCTAACTGGCTACTTCTATGTAAATGCTTTTCTCCAATTTTGCTTCCAAACAGGAGTGCTGTTTAGTGGGGCATCCACCTGACATGACCATCCTTTATTTCCAACTTTTCCCCATCCAGTCAGCACTCTCTTTCTCAAACCTGCTTTACTATGATATTTTTGGACTGATAATGCAGCCCAAGGGCATGATCACAGTTGCAATTACCTTTAAAAAAACCCAAACCCCTCTGGTGACTTGGCAGGGGGGAAATGGTGGCTGATGGCAAAAGCTCACGTGGGGCCACCCCTTTGCCAGTGCACTGGGGGGGGGGCTCCCTACTCACAGAGGCATTGAAAGCGAAGGAGAGACTCCTAAATGTGCGGATTCAGCCTGAGCATCTAGTTAATGATAAGCTAGTTAATCGGATAATCTAATACTTGTTTGCAGCCAAAGGCAGCTTGCAGTAGTTATCCGTAGTTAAGACATGTGAAGTTGGCTGGCCGCAGAGGTTGACATCTACCTTCCCAGTAGATCTAAATTTAAAGTGGAATGATTTGCAGAATAATTTGCATGAGCACAGCACTTTATAGCACAGCGCTGACTACTGTAATGTTCCCCCTTGTGCAGGATGGTGACTAGCAGGATGCTTGGGCAGCAGACCCCCCCCCGTCCCTCCCTGTTTACCCAACCCCCCCCCCTTAGGTCTAACTCTGTGCCTCAAACAGACTCTAATAAATTAGCCCTTAGAGGTTCACTTCCAGGTTCTTCCGCAAATTCTCCGAGTGTTTTGTATGTCGCCTTACCTGTCATGTTCATGTTTCATGCTCAAGTAATTCTTTGTCCCCCCCCCGTTCTTGTCCCGCAACAGTAGACAGCCGCGGACCAAGTCGAGTCCACCACAACAACACTGCACGGCCGCTTGCCTATCATGTATCCATTTCCTGATTCAGAGGGAATGATGCTATTATTGCTGTAACCATCTCTTGTGAGGATTAATAAAGCTTTTAAGCTAAACTCCCCCTTGTTGGAACTCACTGACTGAGCTAAAATACGTGCTGGGGGGGGGGCGCCTACAGCCGTCAGGGGGCGCCTGGCCGTCAGAGCCAGGGGAAGGCAAGCAGGAGCTGCCGATGCACATGTGCCCCCCTTCCTCCCCGCCGTTCCTTGTGCCCCCCACTCCTCCTGGCAGGGTTCCAGGGCCTGGGCAAACGACACCTGTGACAGGAGTCAGGCCAGGGGGGCCCACTGACCCAGCAGGCCCCTCCCACCCCATCCGGGGACTCCCCTGCTGAAGGACTCGTTGCTTGCTTGCGGGGGCTCGTGAGCACTGTGAGTAGCCAGCACAGACTTTCCTTCCGTGCCATTTTTCCAAGCAGAAAGAGCCACAAGGAGCCTGTCAACCCCCTTCTCAAGCTTCATGTGTCCAGAGTCACAGGATCCTAGAATACATGGAGCCAGAGAACGGGGCTGCCAGAATCATGGAATCACATAGCTGGAAGGGGCCACGGAGGCCATCTAATCCAGCCCCCCTGCTCCATGCAGGACCAGCCGAGAGCATCCCCGGCAAGTGTCTGCCCAGCCGCTGCTTAAAGACTGCCAGTGGGGGCGGGGGAGCTCACCACCTCCCCGGGCAGCCGATTCCACTCTGGCGCAACTCTTACAGTAAAAAAGTGTTTCCTAATATCCAGCTGGTACCTTCCTGGCCTTAAGTTAAACCCATTATTGCGAGTCGTATCCTCTGCTGCCAACAGCTCCCTGCCCTCCTCTAAGTGACACAGCCTTTCAAATACCTAAAGAGAGCTATCATGTCCCTCCTCAACCTCCTCTTCTCCAGACTCAACATTCCCAAGTCCCTCAGCCTTTCCTCATAGGACTTCGTCTCCAGGCCCCTGATCATCTTTGTCTCTCTTCTCTGCACGTTCTGCCCACATCTTTTTGAAGTGAGGCCTCCGAAACTGCACACAATAATACTCCAGGTGTGGCCTGACCAATGCAATGTTATGGTGGGACTATGGCATCTTGCAATTTGGATGTTATGCCTCTGTTGATACACCCCAAGATCACATTAGCCTTTCTTTGTTGCCGCATCACAGTGGCTGCTCATATTTAACTTTCAGTCCACCCTTACCCCCAAGATCTTGTTCACACACACTGCTATTCAGAAGCGTATCCCCCATCTAGTATGCGTGTTCCTCATTTTTGTTACCCAGATGTAGAACTCGGCTCTTATCCATGGAGTGGATTGACAGCCCCAGGGTGTGCCAGGAGTGTTCAGGAACTGGAATGACAGGGCCAGGAGTGTTCAGGAACTGGAATGACAGCCCCAGGGTTCAGAATATTTTTTTCCCTGTTTTCCTCCTCTAAAAACTAGGTGCGTCTTATGGTCAGGTGCGTCTTATGGTCCGAAAAATACGGTAACTTTCAGTCCACCCTTACCCCCAAGATCTTGTTCACACACACTGCTATTCAGAAGCGTATCCCCCATCTAGTATGCGTGTTCCTCATTTTTGTTACCCAGATGTAGAACTCGGCTCTTATCCTTGTTAAATTGCATCTTGTTCACATCCACCCACTTTCCCAGTGTGTTCAGATCTCATTGAATATAAAGGTTTTAATAAATGTACATTTTTTTAACACACCATTTGCACCTATGGTTGGGCCTCTGAAAACACAGGCTGATAAGCCACAATGGCAACCTGTGCTGTACAGGCCTTGGCCTTCACAACCGGTAGACTGTACGCTTAAAGATGGCAAAACATTTTCACCAGCGTAAAGCTTCAACTTGCAGAGGACACTGTGATGCCCCAGGTCTGCATTCAGGAATAAGGGGATTGTGGTTTTGCATGCTTTTGTCCAGGCCAAAGCCTATTTATTTATTTAATCCATGTATCCCTTGCCTTCCTCCCCAGTGGTGACTCAAATCAGCTTTCATCATTCTCCTCTCCTCCATTTTATCCTCTTAACAACAACCCTGTGAGGTCGGTTAGGCTCAAGGTTACAAAGCAAGTTTCCCTGGCACACGTGGGGGGGGGGCAAAGGCGGGTCCCAGATACTAGCCTGACACTCTTCACCACCATACCACACACCGGCTCTCAAACCACACACACCCGCCACGATCCCCCAGAAGGGTCCCACACCACGGCTCCTGGCCCGCAGCTTTGTTCTGTGCAACAGGCTAGTTTAGCATATGATACCTCCGGGCTGGCACAGGCACAAAGAGAAGACAGACCAAGTCAACGCAGCAGAAACGGAGCGGAATACCATGGGAAATGTGCCGTTCATCTTCCAGACTCTGGATGCGCCCTCGGCTTTGCGGACAGGGAGCGGTCTGACTTCCACGGGGTCTGCAGCAGCGCGGGGGCGGGGGGGCGGGCAGAGGTGCCCTCTGAGGCTGCCCTTTCTTCCAGGGGAAGGGGACCCGTCTGTGGTCTGGGGACCCGTAGTGATCCTGCAGGTCATCAGACGGAGACCCCTCTAACTATTGGTCTGCTGGGGCGGCTGCAAAGAGCAATTCTCATTGTGCTCCGAGGCAGAATAAAGCTAGAGAGCAGAGCTCCTCATTGAGGCCTAGCAGCTTGAGACCCTAGGACAGCTGAGTAAATTCCACATTGCCTGTGGTAAGAACAGGTGCACATGAGGGCGCCCATGAGAGGGCGGGGGAGAGCAAACAGTGCGCCCCTCGTGAGCCAAACTGCCGCTGGTGGGAAAAGCACACAGCCCAACAGAAGAGAAGGGCGGCAGCAGCAGCAGCAGCAGCAGCAGACCCACACAAAGGGAGTCCCTTTGAAGACTCCCCCCAGGACTGTCCTATGTCACTCCCCCAAAGCGACACCCTTCCTTCAGAACAGTACTGTGCACATCGTTGCTAATGTGGAAATCAATGTTTTCATTTGTTTTAAAAAGGGAAAAGACATTGATGCCCCTACCCCTTTAAGAGAGCCTTAACGGCTGGACCTGAGCAGGTGAAGGTTTTCCCAGCACCTGGCAAATGACTTCCGGGGCTTTCTCTCCAGGCAGCTGGCAGCCCTGTTTCCCACTGAGTGGCCCAGTTTTTGCATATCAAAGCAACTGGGTAGAAGCGGGAAGGAAGGGAAGCCCGCTCACCTGCCTCTCCTCCAGACCAGGCGTGGTGACAGCTCTGTCAGTTCACGCCTGAATGGGTAGTTCCGCAAACTAAGTCATCATAAGTAACCCTTGTAAGAAAACAGGGAAACCCCTAAAATGCAACACTTCGGGAGCGATGAATCCAACAGTGAACAAATGGTGATTAAGGCTGGTGTAGACTGTCCCAAAGACCCATTGCAAAATCCTGGAAACAATCTCTAGCGAGTCTTTTTTGTTGTGCTGGCAGGAAGCCAAAGACAATTATTAGGGGCTCTTGTGTTTGTCTTCCTCTTTCTGCATTGCCTTCCGGATGACCAGTCCTAGAATCTTGCTTTGTTTCTCCACCACATCCGTCATTTAGCACAAGCCTTTAGCACGTGGGCTCTGTGGGGTTTTGTGCAATAATTTCCTTCTGCGGTTATCATTTCCTGAAGGAGTGGCATTATACACTTTTTCTCCTTGCTTCAGTCTGGCTAATATCTGTGTCCTTGTTTTGACAAGCATCACATAGAGAATGTCAGGATCCTCCTGTTTTCCCTGTTTTCATTGCGTCTCATATCAAAAACATCCTATAAACTGGTCATAGAATCATAGAATGTTAGAGTTGGAAGGGACCTCACAGGTCATCTAGTCCAACCCCCTGCACTCTGCAGGAGCATAGCCAAAAGATAGCCCCACAACATACCCGAAAGATGGTCATCCAGCCTCCGCTTGAAAATGTCCAGTGAAGGAGCATCCACCACTTCCCGAGGCAGTCTGTTCCACTGCTCAACCACTCTTACAGTTAGGAAGTTTCTCCTAATATTCAGCCGGTAACGACTCCCTTGTAATTTCCACCCATTAGATCTAGTCTTGCAATCCGGAGCAAGAGAGAATAGAATAGATCTGCTCCATCTTCTACATGACAGCTCTTCAAATACTCGAAGACTGCAATCATGTCCCCTCTAAGCCTTCTCTTTCCCAGGCTAAACAGACCCAACTCCTTCAGCCTTTCCTGATAAGACTTGGATTCCAACCCTCTCGCCATCCTGGTTGCCCTCTTCTGGACTCGCTCGAGCTTGTCAAAATCCTTCCTAAAATGTGGTGCCCCAAACTGGACACAGGACTCCAAGTGAGGCCTGACCATAGCAGAACAGAGTGGGACTACCACCTCCCGTGATCTGGACACAAGGCTTCTGTTGATGCATCCTAAGACTGCATTAGCTTTCTTCACAGCCACATCGCATTCCAGGCTCATGTTTAGCTTGTGATCCACCGGAACACCCAGATCCCTTTCACATGTCCTACCGTCAAGCCAAGTCCCTCCCATTCTATATCTGTGCCTTTGATTTTTTGTACCTAAGTGTAGGACTTTGCACTTCTCTCTATTGAAATTCATTTTATTTGTCTCCGCCCACATTTCCAGCCTTTCTAGATCATTTCGAATCCTGACTCCGTCTTCTTCAGAATTAGCAATCCCACCCAGCTTCGTGTCATCTGCAAATCTGATAAGCATCCCCTCTATGTCTTCCTCCAGGTCATTTATAAAAACACTGAACCACACCGGGCCCAGGACCGAGCCCTGTAATATGCCTCAGAACAACATTTATCCCCTGTTAATTTAACTCTTACATTACTTAGTTCTGATTAGTTCTCTTTCATTCTAAGACACTCGTCTCTATAGTTCTCATTTATACAAAATCAACTTATAAACAAGCAAAAAAGGAAAAAAGGGGGGGGAAGTAATAAAGAAAGAAAAGGAAAAAAAACCCTTAGTGAGTAATCATCAATATCCCATTATTTATTTATTAATTTATTATTTTATTCAATTTATACCGCCCGCCCT